AATGAAAGCTTAAAAGTAAAGTCAATATAAATTAATACAGGGAACATTTTACAGCAATCCAATTATTGTCTTTCAAAAATATCGGAAAAGTTTGATATCTTTATTGAGGGAATTCTTCTAGCCAAGCAATCAAATACATAATCACGGAGGCCAAAACTAAACAAAATGTAATTCAACAGCCAAACTAGCTCATCGAACGAGGAAGAACACTAAGATACTTCACAATTATGGAACAGGTGACACTCTTTCCCTACTCTGCTCTAGATTGACCAGCGCGAGAAGAAAGGATGATACCGACAATAAGGCCGTAAAGAGCCAAGGCTTCAGCAAAAATAAGGATCAGAATCATTCCAACAAAAAGCTTTGGCTGCTGTGCATTAGCTCTGAAAACAACAGAAACAAAGAAATGCACCATTAATTGGTCTGTCCTCTCACCGAAAGTGAGGAAACCTTCTTCTGAGTAAAGGATAAATGAAGTTAGCAGAACTATATGAATGCTATATAAGAAAAGGGAATATGATACGCAAGGAGGCCTAATGAAAGAGCAGTGAAGTTATGACTATCAACCCCTACATTAGTTAACCAACAAAGCCAACACAACATGAGACTGCAACTGTACTCAGTTAAGCCACCAAGGTGTAAAAGTCTGATAGCTAAGCATACGATTTTAAACTTGATGGATACTTTACCTACATCTATAACCCTCTCCACTTAAATATAAATCTAGTGGCAGGATTTGAACCCGTGTCATGCGCCTAACACATACATCATGCATTGCACTCTTACCACTACACCAAGGCTGCCCTGGAAGTTCTATTGAGACTAACAAAGGAAAAAGAATCTTTAAAGGTGAATTATATCTCTAATTTCCCGTTCCAACCCCAACATGCAGAATTGCTGTATCCCAAAGTTCAGTCCAACCCCAACATGCAGAATTGCTATATCCCAAAGTTATTAACCACCACTCTCCAGTGTCCCCGCTTCCCCCTCTTTTGCACCTTCCCCTATCTACACCAATCAGTCATAAAGAACAATTCTATAGTCCTTAAACAGAATCAATCACCCAGGATCTATTTATTCAGTAAAGGCCATCTACTTATTTTTATCACAGTCAACCACATGCAAGTAAAGATCGAGTTGCAATGAGACCCAAGTTTAAAGGAAAAAGAAACAACCCACAATATTTGGTATCCTCATATCTCTCCGCCAAATACACAATTCACCATTACTCATTTCAGACAAATCATGAAAATCCTAAAAAAGAGTGATCTTTTTTAATAAAGGACAACCAATAAAAGAGTGATCTTTTAATAAAGGACAACCAATAAAAGCTTGGCTAGTAAGTAAGTAAATCCAGACAGATCATACATAGAAATGCCAAAAGGTAACAAAAAATCTGCCATAATTGATTAAAGATCCAAACCCACATGCTCTTCACATTTATCCCAATACCAACATATAATTAAACATAATCAACTATGCAATATAAAAAAAAAAAAGTATATCTTTATGAATCTATATATCAGTTCTGCCGATGATTAAACACAATACAGAAAATTAGCAGAAATAGTAAAATACCTAACACCAGCATCACCAACGATTCCGATAGCCATACCAGCAGAAAGACCAGCAAGACCACAAGCAAGACCAGATGAAAGGTGAGCATATCCATCAAATAGATAATACGACTTAGTTTTCGGGTTAATCCCAGTACTAATAATCACAGCAATAATTAACCCATAAATACCCAAAACTCCAGCCATAACAACTGGAACAATTGACTTCATCACCAATTCCGGCCTCATTACACCCATCGACGCTACTCCTACCCCACTCTTCGCTGTACCATAAGCTGCACCCATACCTAAATTCACAAAAAAAAAAAAATCGATTTAGATTCAAAAAATAAAAAATGAAAAAATCATAGCTTAGATCTAATGGAAAAAGAGTTACAGGAGAAGACTAAGGCAGCTGCAGCGCCGAGGAAGCCAAAAAACGGTGCCGTTTCATCGCCGCTAAACGTAGAAGCCATTTTTATCTTCTTCGAACTGGGAAATTGAAGTAATTTGCGATCTGAGTGTTTATTGGAATTGATTGATCTAAAATGCTTCTGTTAAATACATTTGAGATCGTCAACCTGATCCATCACTTGAGCTATAAATGGGCCTTAACCCGACTGTGATTAAAGAAGTATGTGTGGGCCTAAAAGCCCATCTTTGGAACATGAATTTAAGTCGTAACTATCCTGCGTAAAATTTTTACAAGTTTAGCCATTTCAGACATACGGTGTCAGAAGTTCAGACATTTACTTGTGATAGAATCCACGACATCAATAACATATCTAATATAATCTTACAAGTACGGTGTGGAGAGAGTAGTGTGCGCGCGAAGACCTTACCCTTATCTCGTAGAGATAGAGAGGTTATTTCCGATAGACCCCTGGCTTAACCCCCACCCACCCACCCAAAAAAAAGGGAACAGATGGAAAAAAGAGAGAACGAAAATGAAAGCAGTAACAACACAACAAATAAACAACAACAACAATAACAATATACCTAGTGAAATACCACAAGTGGAATCTGAAAAAGATAAAATATACCGAGACCATATCCCTACTTCTTAGAGTTAAAGAGACTATTCCCGAAGAACCCTCGACTCGAGTATAACGTTAATGAAAAAATAAAAAACGAACAAAGCAACTAATAAGAAAACAATACCAACCTCAATGAAATAATACAGACATCAAATATTTACGTAAAATTTAGCTTGGAAATCCCAAAACTTTTGTCAAACTCGTATGTTTAAACTTTGTGAATTCTTCTATTTCATTTCACTCATGGTAATACCTCACCATTTTATCTCTAGTTTCGTTTCATTTTGTTCATAGTATCTCCATCCATTTTATCCATGACCTCAATTTAGTTTATTCATTTTCACCCGTGATTACTTTATTTATCCATCATGGTACGTCATACATTTCATGCTAAATAAAATAACAATTCAAATAATTTAAAAATAGTGAAATGAAATTGTTAACCAACATCGAGCAAAAGTTTCAAAGAAAAAAAAAAGGAATAGAAGCGAAGGAACAATTGTCTTTAAGTATGCATACACGACTCGTACAGCGTATTTGTACACAAAATCTAAAACACTAAATGGCATATAGGTCGTACCATAAAATGTTTACACCATAATCCAACTAAAGATTTCAAACATAAGGCCACTGGGCAGACTACTTAACAAGAAGCACTGCCATTTCAACTTCAGCGACCACGTTTAAGCCTCGTAAGGAACGAATTCTTCTCAGCTGCAACCTTCAACATTGATTACCATAATCATATGATTAGTGTACGCTGTCAAAATCAGAAAGACAAGGCACTGTTAAGCATTTAAGCAACATTAAACAAAGATAATAGGGGAAAATATCAGGGGAGGAAGGGAGATAATACCATGAAATCGGTAGAGGCAACTGCAATGATGAATCAACAGCTGCAAATCATCAATTATCTTGTAACAGAAATCTTACTGGCAAGCAAGTGCTTGTGCGCTGTGACAGTAAACAGGAACTAAATGCACATAGAAGATCTTGTGTGCACTTCTCAGTAGATCGAGGCAGACAACAGATGTAGGAGGTGACGTTATGAACTGCAGTGCTCTCTAGGGCACAAATAAGCACAGAAATCACAATCATGCATCAACAAGTTACTACAGGCCAAGGGAATTATGTAAAAGCTGTGTATATGACTTCCATACTAGCACATTGAAATCTGACATTGAACTAAATAACGGAAGTGGAAATAGTTACTTCGGCAAAGAGAATCAGCACAAACATATTTGGCTAATTAAAAGACTATAAAGTCCACTACAATTGGCCAGTAAAATAACAATGATCACTGGCCTAAAGAATTTCAGGCTTCCTCTTTGTATGGCTGCCTGACCTGAACATCAGAAGACTTATATTTCCATCTTTATCTACCGCATTGACCATGAGGAAAACAAGAGATTTTGACTAGACGTTAGCAATCCAATCAAGAACCTCTTTCCCCATTTCAACATCATTCTGCACTGAACAGCATAGCTGATATTTTCATCTGTATCTACTGCCAGTAGTACACATACTACCGGTACCGGTACTCCATTCCAAGATGTTCAATATGATAAGTTATATGTTTCTGCAGAACTGTATACGATCAAATTTCACCAACCTCAAACCGAGGGTATACTACTAGCCTGATGGATAGACCCATCTCCTTGAAATCTTAAGAGAAACAGAGTGAGACAATAGGAGGAAAAATGACCACAATTTCTAATTGGTAATACCAAAATAAAAGCAGGCCCTCAAAAGTAAATAGCAAGGCAGAGTGAAATCAAGAAAAGCAACCTGTAAGGACTGGAAATAGCAAGTCGTCCAAAGAGAAGACTCTCCTCCTGCTGCCAAGTAGTCTCTCAGCTCTCAGCTCTCAGCTATATGCTTAACCTGACAATAAAGGAAATATATAAGATCAGATAACGCATGTGAGAAATCAACAGATTACTAGTGTTATGCATAAAATTCTATAGCATGCATCTTTTCAGCAATTGCAAACTTCTAATGCAGAATGAAAATGTCTTTGACTAACTTATCCCTTGAAAGAATGTGAGTACATGGGGAAACAATCACCTCACTTTCAACATAAAAATGGCATGTACTACCCAGAAAATTCGCACACACCTTCAGAGAGAATAAAGATCATTCCTCACTTGGGGGGGGATGGAGAAGGCGATCTAGAAAACTCACTTATGTACTCCCTTTGCTCCCTCTTCTTTTGGCCTTCTTCACTGGATAGTGCATAGGGATTAAGAAACCTCATGAACAAAGTTCAAGCCACTTGGACACAATCGCCAAAAGCACACATCTCAACAATGTTCTCTTTGATTGAGTGGAGCAGTCCACAGATCATAGAAAGAAATTCAATATAGCATATCTAAGAGATTTCATCTACACTATAAGAAAAAAAATCTTAAGAGGGGAGATAGAAGGAGGGTTTTGTTTTTACTTATTCTGAGAAATCAATATTTCAAAATGAAGGAAGCATATGACGCCCTCAAAATGTTCTGTATATTTGTTCCAATGATAACAATCCTGAGCTGTACACATACCAAAACTAAAGAAAAGTCAGAAGTGATTGTTCATCAAAGGGGAACCCTGAACTGAAAGAAACAAAGGGCTACTTTTCTTCTATATAATACAACTTCAAATCTGACTACCAATTCTAAACCTAATCTTGCTATCTCTGAAGGAATTCACATCAGTCAGCAGGAGTAGTAGTATAACATTCACATGACAGACATGTTTTCACCGACTTTGCCACCTTGAGAATGTTTCTTGCAGACACACCGCAACAGAAATGTCAAAAGTCTCAAATTTGCAGGACAATTAATCAGTCTCTTACAATAAACAGTCCATGATACGCTCAACAAAACAGTCTCTGAAGACAACAACTAGCTTGGCAAGGATAATTGTTCAATGAAGCCTGCATTCCTCACTCGTCGATGATTGTTGCACCCACTCATGAAAAAGTTGATGAGACTAATCACCCTGCGGTAAAGCATCAATAAGAGTGACTGCTCATCCTTTGTCCATTATGATTTTGCACCCGGCTTCATCTGAATATGCCTTTCAATCAACTTGTCCACGAAATCTCTAATCTGCAGATTTACCAATACAACAAATCAAAGGCAGAAAAGCAATGAAAAGTGAAAATAAATACCAAGCATATTGAGCAAATGCTATAAAAAAAAATACAAGTGTTTTTAGTTGGAGTATATCTCCAAACAGATCCACATAATTTTTAGTCTTATTTTATTTTTATCATAATAATCCAACCTATCCAAAGAGGTCTGTATGGAGGAAGATATAATGACAGAGGATAAGAAAAACATCCCTGTATTCCCGTTCCCATATCTTATGTCATATTTGCTCTTCCACGGTTTTGAGATGCGAAAGATGGCTAAAAGGTTTTCATGTACAATAGAAACGTTTGTTGTGGTGAAGGGCAGATCTGGAATAAAAGCAACCACTTTGATGATTACATACTATTGAGAACTCCAGAAAAAGGAAAGAGTGAAAATAATACAAGATTAAGGATCAAGTTTTTCTTCCAACACCAAATCTTTTCACTTGCATAGAGCTTGGAGAGCTAGAGTAGAATATTTTCACTCTCAGCAATGTTTTCAGCCGAGGACAAATGCATGAAGGCTTGAAGATTTGTGTTTGTCATCCTTGTGAACAGGCCATGCTAATCTTTTCTGTATTGTTCCATTTTATAGGATGTTACCAGAAGACTATACATGGAGGCAAGAAGAGTAAATAGCAGTTCCTGTGATTATGTTTCATGTTTTGTTTCCTTTTTCTACTGTGGGGATTAGTCGTACTTTGCAAGGTTTGACAAGATATAACCCAATTTAAAGAAAGAAACAAATACTATCTCTGCAAACTTAAGCGTACTCGTTATAAAAGTTTTAAGATATCTATTGTTCGGAAGTTAAAAAAAGGAGGAAACAATAAATCAGCATAGCTGCTTAAAGGCTGTCCTGTCCACAGTCTAGAATTTGAAAGAATAGGCTTCTCTCCTCTCTTACTCTCAAACCAAACAAGAGAAAACAGTTCCCTTTCACTATCTCCTGCACTTGCCCATTCCCATTTCTCTTTTCTTTCTTCTTATTTTCTGTTTATAATTGTGGTCCTTTCCATTCTCTTTTTTTTTTATGACAAGGAAAACCCGCAGCCGCTACCCCTTTGGGTGCGCACAGGGTTAAACCCCCGCTCCTATGCAATAGCTCGCAAACCACACAGAAGAGGTAACCCGCACTAACCAAGCCTGGTGCGACAAGCTCGACCCAGAAGGCAAATCACTTACTTTCGCTAGCAAGGGGTTTCAAACTTGAGACCTCCAACATGGAAGTCCTAAGTCCAAATCACTGCCTAATTTACCCCCAAAACAAAATCTCCACTTTCTGCTATAAGATATATGTAAAGGCACTTTATCTGATAACAGTGAATGGTGGGAAAGCTTGTTCAACAATCTCATATTCAACCAATCAATTATGCCTCAATCTCACTCAATCCCATCATTTCAATACTAGACAATTTGGCTTTTAAGGAAAGTTAAGAAACTAAACCTAGAATTAAAGGTTCTCTATATCTCATACTCATCCCTATGGACTAAACCAGGTAAACATCATACCTAATGCAAGTAAGAAAATAAGAGTCATTTGCATGAGAAAAAGCAGATGTCTTTTTCCCTTTTCCAAGTTTTAAGATATACAAATGAATGTTTGCCAAATTTCCAACAACTAGACCAAGAGTGGCTCTTCTGTATACAGGAACCCATATTACCAAGGATAAATCACAATTCACACCTAAAGTTCCAATCAATAGTTTAACCTCTAAACCTTCTCTAACCACAGAAGAGGGGGAAATCCTTTTCTGAGAAAGCAAAAAAGGGGCAGGTCTTCCACACTCTTTAACACTTAGCATTTGGTGAACTGCCATATGAATTTAAAGGAACTGACGTGAAAGGTCTTTGGCCAGACTAAATTTTGGAATAGTGGAATTTTATACACTAAGAGAAGGGTCAGTCTTCCATAGGCTTATGCTTATTTGCATTTAATGTAACTCACAGCTTTATTAGCTTTGTGTTGCTTTTGAAATGCATATATTGTAGATTAAATTTCTAGTTTAAAGAAACTTTAAGAGTAGCGCAACAATAAGCAGTTAGAACCTATTAAACAATGCAAAAAGGTGACATCAACTGAGAGTAGTTTGTACCTTGTTTTTACGTTTGAAATCAAGAAACTCGTACACAAGCATGGCTTTTTCAGCATCTGTGGCATGTTCCATTACCTGGAGTTGGGAACAGGATCAGTTCATTATAGATATAAAAAGATTAAAGAACCTCAATTATGTAAACAAAGAATAAAGAATCCAACAGGCTACGAGAAGTTGGGGTGAGTCAGGACAAAAATCAGACCTTTGTAGCAGTTTTCTTCATTATGGATTTATACCCCTCCCTGTCGAGTTTCCTTGCTTTATAAAGAGGCATCAGCAAAGACGCAACATAATCAACAACAGCCAGCTTAATTCTTTCTGCTCCTCTCGGTTGATTATCTAATGCCTCTTTATTTACAGTAATTTGTGAGGCAGAGCTTTCACACACTAACACATCATGCTTTCTCATATCCATTTTGGAACTCACGTTTGAATCCTCTTCATCAGTGACATGCATCACTGGATCATAGAAATCTGAATTAGCAGCAGCTGCTTGACATTGCCACATTTCAATGGCATTGTAATCCTTTATCCCTACACTATTTGAGCTATCAACCCATGCTTTGGTGAATATACTACTATCTACAGGTGCACTTTCTCCAGAGTGCTCCTTAAAGTTAAACTGACATGCATTGTCATTTGAGAGGCTACGCTGTGAGCGATTATCAACAGACATTTTTGAACTGTCAAGGTTCACACCAGCAGCAGAAAAATCAACAGACCAATCCCTCACCCGGCAGTTGCGAGAATCAATTTCGGATAAACAATCTTGCCTTCCTCCCACACCGCCAGGCCAATTCCTTCTGATGTCAGACTCATCCATATTTGCATATTGTTCCCGTCGAGCAAATTTGTGAAATGAGGGTATCTTAGGAAGCTGCAGTGGCATGTTACACTTGGCACCAGATGAAGCATAAGCCTGCAATGAAGGGTAATCATTGTAGAGCTGCTTAAGAGGAAACCAAGATTTATTTGACAAAAAAGAACATAAGACAGACAAAAACATTTGCAATATAGAGAAGCCAGAATAGAGGTACTCAGAAGAACTTTCTTTTGGCAAGGAAATGAAGATAAAAGGAAGTATCATCTTGTCAAATGGGAAGAAATGAACATAATAGGGGGTGTGGGCATCAGAAACATGAAGTTTCAGAACCAAAGCCTTATGATGAAGTGGTTATGGAAGTTTGCATCTGCTGAGAACTCATTGTGGAAGGAAGTGATTGCTGCAAAATATGGAATGAGGGATAAGTGGATGACAACAAAGGTGACCTCTCCCAATGGGTCTAGTGTATGGAGATCTATCAGTGATCTATGGGATTTGGTGCTAGAAAGATCATATTGTAAGGTGGGAAATGGCAGAAAGATGGCGTTCTGGATGGACAAATGGTGTGGTCAGGTCCCATTAAGCCAAAGGTTTCCTGACCTCTACGACCTATGTCAAATGCAACAAGCAACTGTAGCCGAATTATGGAATGATCAGGGTGGAATTTGCACTTCAGGAGAAATTTAAATGATTGGGAGATGTGCAGAATAACTGAGTTTTTGGTTACCCTAGCACAATTTAGTAACCTGTCTGAGGAAGAGGACTCACTGGTGTGGAATGTGGGGAGCAAAGGGTGTTTCACAGTAAATTCAGCATACGAAGATCTCAACACAGTTGGCATTGAGGAAGTAGAATGGCCTTGGAAGATGATATGGAAAACCAAGATACCCTATAAAGTAAATTGTTTTACTTGGCTGTTAGCTAAGGAGACAGTTTTGACACATGAGAACCTGAACAAAAGAGGCGTTCACCTGTGTTCCAGGTGCTTTTTGTGTGAAGAGCAAGGAGAGACAGTCAACCATCTCTTCTTACACTGCAAGTGGACAACCCAGCTGTGGCAAATGTTCACCAATATGAGAGAGATTAAATGGGTGAAACCAGGAAGGATCAAAGAGGTTTTGAAGTGCTGGAATAGAGATGGAAATGCAGGAAGAAAGGAGGAGAGATGGAAGATGGTCCCATATGTATATGGTGGACAGTATGGCTAGAGAGGAACCAGAGATGTCATGAAGGAAAGCAGAGCAACATACAAAGATTTAAGCTTAACTGTTTAGCTCTGTATTATTTTTGGTGTAAACAAGTAGTCTTAGATAGCTCAGAAGTAATCAGCACAACTATAGACTGGCTGTAACTTGGTAGGTATAAGAGCTTATGTAACTACAACACTTTTGGAGGGGAACTACACTTTTGAGGTAGTATACCTGTGGATAAATATAGACTAACTGTTACTTTTATCAAAAAAAAAATATAGAGAAGCCCAAAAGCAAAATAACAGAGAATCCAACTTTGTGTTTTCCCCCTTTTTAACAACATATATACTCTAGGAATAATCAAAAAACAGTAAAAAAATATAGCATATTCCCTTCTCATATTGGACAAATGAATCAACACGACTAATAAATCTTGGGATGATACACCGTTATGTTGCTTTTGGGCTGCACCATATTATAAATGTTTTTATCTGTCTTTTTTTTTTTTTCCAAAAACAACATAACAGAGAATCCAGCTTTGTGTATTTCCCCTTTTTTCAATAACTTGCATACTCTAGGAATAACCAAAAAAACAGTAAAAATGTAGCACATCCCCATATTGAAAAATGAGTCACCACAATTAATAAATCTAGGGGACAATACATTATAAGACACTAACCTCAGCAGCTGCTAGAGCAGCAAGGCGAGCAGCTTCTGCAGCAGCAAACGCAGCCTTCTCTTCCTCAGACATGGGGAAATTTTGCCTTTCCTCAGTGGTATCATTTTGCCTTCCTACTGAAGCTTGAGAGGTTGATGGTTCAACAACTGGAATAGTTCCTAACGTGGCTTGCCTGACATTCAGCTTCTTGTTGTTGACATTAACAGCTAAGTGATTTCCAGCCGATGAAGAAACTTTAGAACTCCGTTTACTGTCTACTGCTGAAGGATGATTGCGAATAGGTGGTTTGCCAGGTGCTGCAATGTGTTTGCTCTTCGAAGTATCAGTGGCAGTGGATTGTCTTAGTAATTTCAGACCACCATTAGCAGCCTTCTCCTTTCGAAAAAGTTCTATCCATACATTGACAAGCTGACTTGCTACAGCACGTATGTCACGGCTAGTATGCACACAGACTTTTTCTTTAACCGTTTTCCCAATGCCTGAATAAAATATGACAGGAATAGAATCAGTTAAATCAATGCAAGGACAAAGCAAATACACTAATGATATGACAATTATAAGGATCATTAGCCATTAATGGATATAGAAAGCAAATATTTAGAGTTTAAAGCATACAAGCTGAAAAACATGAAACATTAACAGAGAATATTGATAGCCCCAATGGGGACGTGCATATAAATAATTTGAAGGTACAAATCAGCTTATAGCAAGCAACATTGGAATAAAGGTGAACAGTTCCAGAATAGCAGGACTGCCTCTTCCACCCACCCCCAAAAAGAAATCTCAAAAGAAGGTTCACAATAGAAAATCCAAAGGAGAGCAGAAGGGGGGTGGGGGTTAGTTCCTTTACTCAAAAGGGGAATGTACCTGACAGTCGGACTGCAAGCAAATCAGTTGAAACCAGTACTAGTACACGAACACAATGACGCAAGAGTTGGGTCCCATCCTTTCCCATGGAGTCCTGTGACCAACAAACATGAGTCAGACAACAAGCAATTTGTGTTCGACAGATAAGGCATGAAACTAAAATATGTGACGATTAATACCAGCATCCACAAATTAAGTGTGCTAAGCCCTTCTTTAGTTCCAGCAAAAGATCTCAAAACTTCTACCGGAAGTTTCAACAATTCTTTTGCGAGATGCAATCTTCCTGCTGTTGTATTGGCCTTACAGAACATGTCCCTTAGCAAATTCTCCCGGGTCACGATCTTCACCCCATCCAAAGACTCCTTGCACAAAACACTTGAGAGCTCCACTGCTTCAAGTCTCTTCATAATGTCCCTTATTTCACTCCTTTCAACATCTGAATGCCTCTTTGCATCCTCCATTGCCTCTACTTCTGCTGTGTAATCAGTGCCTGTAGTCAATATGTCAATTATGCGCACAGCTTCCCGTAACCCACTCATCATTGCACCACCAACCGTGTCAGGGTGCTCCTTGCAGGTAGCTTCACCTGCAAAAAATAAACAGTTCTCCACAGGCCGGCCCAATATGTCATAATCTTCTCCCGATGACCCTACAGCCACATAAGAGTAAGCCCCATAGCTATAAGGATCTTTTCCCCAGTTGGTGACCACTGAAGCAACTGGATCAGGTACCTTTTTCTCACCATAAAGCTTCCGCAGAACCAGTAACGAATGCTTTACATGGTCATCGGAGCTCATTTCCTGGCCATCTATAGCAGCTTTTCCAACCACTAACGCTATAAGAACAGGTGCCCCAACAGTTTTCTTGACATTCCAGAACATAAAGCATCTGCCCCTCTCGTCTGTATCTTCAGCAGTCGCACCAAAGTAATCAATAGAATCATCCCAAAATACTTCAGGAAACTCCAAGACAACTTTATTAAGAACACCAAAGCCAAGCCGTTGGATAGATAAATCTTTCCAGTGGGGTAAAGGTGGTGAAAATTTAATGGCTTCCGCCTTAAGACACCCTAATGGAACTGTAATAAGGACTGCATCTCCAGAAAACTCTCGTCCATTTGTCGTGGAGACTTTTACCTTGTTAAACAAATCATTTTTTGATGGAACATCTTCTTTGCAATATGAAACATCAGTAACAATGTGGTTCAAGTGAACGCAAAGTTCCTCACCTAGTGCTTCAACAACGGAGCTGTAGCCGCCTTTAATCATACAATGAGCTCCACCAAAACCTCCATATGCATCATCCTGATTCCAATAAGGAAGAGAGACTTCTTTAAGCAATGCAGCACAACCATACTCCAAGTTAGCAAAATGCCAATCCATTACCCTCCTCTCTGGGGGACTCAAGATCTCTACCTTAGAATTATTATTTTGAGGAACTCCACCATCAGAAAGTGCCGTGGATTCCACTGCTGTCACTGATGATTTTTGTGGTTCATTACCCATATGATTTCTTGCGGAACGGGCCTTCTGGCGCTTCTTAAGGGCATATTCTAAACCATCCTCCAGGGACATCCGCATCGCATGCTCCCCTTTTTGAGCAACCAACAGTACCATGTCATCCAATAAGCTATTGAATTCCGCTTCCAATGCTTCATCCAGATCTGCTGGTACTTTCTGGCCAGTAGCTACATCGTACAGGGGACAATCACTGTTCAATACAGTCAATTCAAGACCCAACTGTGCACAAATCAATGAAGAAGGATCTGGTCTTCTGTCAGTCGCCACATCTGCCTCAATACCAGTAATAATGCTAGCACCAAGGTCCACTGGAACAGAGAGAGACGAGCGATCGGTAAAAACACGACCACCTATTCTACTTCTGGCCTCGAGCACGGTGACATGAAAACCTTGGCGCTTCAGGTGCCGTGCTGCAGTTAGGCCAGCAGGACCAGCACCAACAACAATTATTTCTTTTTTCCCTTTAGCATCACAGCACGTGTTTTGCCTTTGACTCCCTAATGAGTTAGGTGTGAACCCACAAGAATCTTCTGAAATCAGAAGATGTTTATCGGCTGCTCTAACATCAATCTCTGTACTGTTGGGAGGCAAAAGATCTGGATCTACAATATTCTGTAATTCACTATCCTTAACTTCACTTGAAGGCACTTGAGCAACTAAACCTAGATCAAACGGTTGACGCGGTGACTGAATATCAGGATAACCATTTACACGGCAATCATCAACAGGACATTCTTGAGGCTCTGCTAAAGCCGGTAACTCTATGGCCCGCCTATCAATGAGCTGGCAATCAGCTCCACATTTTTCTGTCTTTTTCCCTTCATCAGATAAGACATCATTCTTCTCCGGCATGATAATCTCAGAACTCTTTGACCTCCCAAGAATAAAAGAAACTCCATCGTCTCTATCAGCAACAGAAGCTCCAGACTTTTCTATAGTCTTTTCTTCCTTCAAAATTTTCAAGTTGTGTTCAACACCATTTTCAGCTTTATCCTTTTCAGAAGCAATTCCAAAATTTATGTAGCCCTGTTTAAAAGTGGTTAAACTGTGAAAAACAATGATAAGCAAGCAAGCAAAGAGAAGTTCATGAACCAAAGTAGTTTTATAGAGAAAGATCATACAAAAAAGAAGGGGCAGATCTCCTTTGTAAAGCTTGAATAAGAAAGTTCAAATGTTAACTAGGAGAATTGCAAAAAACTTACACATTGATCAAGAAATGAGTAAATTTGCCTAATTAAAGAAGCCCGAGGTGACTCATCCGCTAAAGGGGTTTCAGACACTCCACATTCTGAAAGTGGCAAGACGCGACTGATGTCTTTATTCCAAAGGCTCAAAATTTGATTCCTGCATCGCAACAAAGATTCACCAAAAGAGAAGTAGAGTCAATTATGAAAATATGTAAAACAAATACGATTACACTGCATCATAATGGAAAGTTAACATGCAGATTACACTTTGATCCCCAGCCTACGCAAGTTAACAATGCAAAGTGCCAAAACAAAAAACTCCTTCAGTCACAAAACTTAGATTTCCACTGCCCATTAACAAATAATTCAGAGTAAGAAAGCTTTCAAGAATAGTTTAGAGAGAGCTTTCTTAACATTGAAGAAATCCCCTACGGGCTTCTGGTGATCTGCTTCGACTTAGTACACCGGTTCGAAACTCCGGGGTGTATGCCTCTGCCCCTCGACTGTAGTTATAAGAGAGAAAACCTGTTTAAAGAAAAAAAGAGTATCCGGAACAATATTCCAATTGTCCATACATGAACATACATAAGCCTAACTTCCTAAAGAGTGGCTTTTGTATAAATTATATGAGAAGGGGAAAGGTCGGGCGTGTATAAGTTACAGTACATGCTGCAAGTTGGGGTAATGTGAGAACCCTAAAGACCCACCCACCTGCATTACATAGAAATTTTAAATTCTCTCTTTTTATTTAGAAAAGAAATTTAGCCTTATAGTATTACTATCCTAAACGGATCATCACCACTCATGTTCCTAATTTGAATACTTGCAGTGCTCGTGCACAATATGTTTGTTGAGAAGAAAAGCGGAGATTGGAGCAGAAGTAAAAGTGGAGTGTCAGGATATATCTCTTGTTTGCTGAGATGCAACCAAAAGTGAGAAGTTGGATTTCCCTACACATCAGCTTTTCCAATCCGTCTAGAACTGAAATGAAATGAGAAAGGATATTTGCTTTTACTTCCCTTCCAAGTAGCAACCATACCCAACTCAAATAAAATAATCAATATTCACCAAAGAAGGAAGGAAGAAAGTTAGCTTCTCTGTATCGTACCCTCCCTTCCCTTCTGGGAACCAAACATAGTCTAATGATATTCTCGTAGGATGCATCGTGGAACAATTGGTACTTTGGATCTCTAGATAGATTTGAAACTAATATCCCGTTCGAAAAGGAAACTACTTGCTCCCTTCTCTTACAGACCACCAGGGTATGAATGTAAAGACGCATAAAAGGAGGGTGAAAAACCTACCTATCCAACCAACTGCTTTTACGCACATTAATAAAGAAGGTACTTTTCAATTTACCTTATCAATAAAGTACAGAAATTACTTTCCAGTCATTCATAAACTAGAAAGTATATTTAGCTTTATCAAAATTATCTAAAATACTAAACAAAGTAAACTTAAAAAATATTGGATAAAGCAGATAGCTCTTTTGTTGATCAATGGTTATCACGGTAGGTAGACCATAAGAGATGACACCAATGTGAACACATCAGAAACCAATAAGTTGTTCCAATTACATAGCCAACTAAAGAAATAGTGTGTGCACGTTCAAAAAATAAGCCTATCACATCATAGGTAGATAGATATATATATATATATATATATAGAGAGAGAGAGAGAGAAAGAGGGAGAGAGAGAGAGAGGGGGGGGGGAGACCGAAGTTCAAATTCTAAGAGAACAAGGGACGGAAAGATGCTAACCCCAAGGGCTTTAGTCTAGTAGTAACAGTGCAGCCTGCACTGTGATGTGTGGGTTAGGTGCATACCACAGGTCAAACCTTGCGGCAGACAAAAGAGAAAATCCTAATATTTGAATGGAGAATGGTAGAGGGCAGCCCATTATCACCATGTATTGAACTGTTCGCCACTAGTCCTGGGGGATTTCTTGGTAATCATAAAAAAGGGGAGGAAAGATACTACGCTTTAAAGGCATACTTTATCTAAACTAAACCTTCAAGCAACATCACCTGTCTAAAAGAGAAGAGAAGAATTTTTTGCAATATCGTCCCAGTATTTACTGAAACTAACAAGAAACACGGCCATTGCTTGCCAGCAGACTAAACAGAGATAACCCATCTGAATTATGTTGTAAGTAGTCAAAAATGAAACTATTAACTAGAACTTTCTCCCCTTTCACCATAAGAACTATCTTTGAACTTTATTTGTGTGGTCTTTTTCCCTCAAAAGGAGGTCCCTAGTTCTAACTCTTAGAACAGTTCTTTTTAATCGCTTAACCCTTAGACGATTCTATCTAATGACTTTTCAAGGAAAGCAGGAGCATATTTATTTCTCTGTTCAAATAGCCATAGATTAGCTCAAGTTTTGCAATAATGAACCGGAGCAGAGATTAGAATGAACCCAAAGAAACAAAATTAAAAGAAAGATTATAAACATAATTTAGTTATCTCATGGAAAAATCTCTTGTAAGGCACTTAATAGCAAGGTATTAGAAGACCGGATATGGTATTCAGAGTGCAAAATCTGTCATTACCTGCATTCCAGAAATTCTAGGAGTCCAACTCTGCGCTTCAGGACCTCCTTAAACTTGATTCTTTCTACTGGGCCAACTTCACGAGCTTTAAGTCCAACAGATACTGCTGCTACCCCGCCATTTTCAGTATCCATAACTATCAACGACGAGTCAAGCTTCTCTCTTGTTTTGAAGTCATGTCTACCCTCTCCATCTTGATGACTTAAAAAAAAATCTTGCCCATGCACCAGAACGTCCCAATCCACATCCCCCTCATAGGCCATATCCCCGTGCCTACGCTTTTTAGTCTTGCGTGAAGCACGTTGACCTGAAAAGAGTCTCTGCTCTTTTTCTTCAGCTGCCAGCTTAGACTCAGTCTCTTCAGCAACACTTTCATCACATTCTGGTGTAATTGACGGAGAAGATGTGCCATCAGCCTCATCATCTCCATAAACAAAGACACGACTTTGATGATGTGAACCTTCACAATTCTCATCAGCCAGTTCACTCTGATGGAAAACCGAACTGCATTTGCGCAATGAGATAGCAGCATTATCAATAGTCATTTGTTTGGAAGAACCATATAAGTCATTACTATTCTCCATGATTTGGTCCTCCTGCTTCATCTGGCTGGCATTAACTTGCTGACTCCTTCCTACAGACACTGGAGATGACCCACCCACAAACACTTGACCACCCTCCTTTGGCAAAGAAACTGGAGCACAAGTTTGCTCATAAACAGAATCAACAGAAATTCGCTGCTGATCATCAAAGTCACTTGAACACTTCTCTGCTGCAATAAAATCAGGCGTCAAACGAACTTGAGCATACCCAGAACCTTCCATGTCTGTGTTCTCCTTGGCTGCAGTTGAACCTTCCAACCGGGAAGTGGACGAAATCAAAGTTCGACTAAACACATTTCCAATGCTTCCTTGAGATGTATGATCAAGTTTGTTCAATAACTGAACACTTCTACAAGAACCTGAATCATCTGCTCGATTTGAAGAGCACATTTGATCATCTACATGAGTTTCTCGGCTGCTTAAAATTGCATTTGAGTTCACATCCATATCAGCATTGAATTTGGTTTTTATCGTGGGATGCTCAAGCATCTCAACATTCTCAGGAGTAATGGTATCTGCAGACGAAACATCACGACCTGTTGCCATTGGACGATCACTAAAACGATCCTTGGAAGCAGACTGTTCATGAAAAGTAGAACAGTTCTTCATGACATCCTCATCATGAAGATCTTTGCAATTTCCACCCACAATATTATTTGTTGTGGCAGTTCCCTCCTCACTAAGTTTACTGTGACATTTGACCTCACCATCTAGGACACCTGCGATCTTATTAAAACATGCTGGTACATCTAATTGAGATCCTTCAATGGAAGATGCATCATCTATGGCGATGCTTGATTTCAACAACTCAACATTGTTCAATGCAGACAAAGAAAGCTCTGGCTTTGAATCAGATTGTGATTGAATGAATTGCACAAATTCTTTATTTTCAGACAAGTGCATATCGACTGAACCTCCATCAAGTGACACATGCACATCCTCATTGGATTCAGGAATTTCTTCACCCAATTTCTGGCACATATTTGTGGATATGGAAGGAAAGATTTCGGTTGCAGTAGGGCTAGAGTTCAAAACATCACATAAAACTTCACTTTCCTTCCCTCTTTTCAACTGCAAAGAGCTGTGTGATTTCTTAATAAAACCAGATTGTGCTTTCTTCAGAAAAGCTGATAGTGAATCTTCTAGAATTCCATCCATGCAATTCGGAGAGCTTTTTCCACTCTCTTTATCATTTTGCAAGGACATATCCCCAGATATCTCCACTTTCTTCAGCTCCGAAGAAACCTTTGGTCTCTTACCTTTTCTCTTATTCCCTTTCTCGAAACCCTTATCAATTATCCCTTCAGATAGACATTCAACATCTGACAGACTCTTTTCCACAATTTTTGCCGCTACCTTCACAGACCCATCTGGAGATTCCCCAGTTAACTTACTGGCATTGCTACTTGAACTTTTAACAATTGTTGACACAGATCCACTATTCTTCTTCGGACCCCTCAATTTCTTCCTAAAACTAGCTAATGTATCATCCATGCCAACCAAATCTTCACCCTTAACCACCGTTTTCTGAATTACATCCTTACTACCACCTAAATCCACCTTCGCTTTCTTCGAGTGTTTTTTGCTTTTTAACTTCAACAAAGACCCAATAGGCTCATCATCTCCTGAATCAAACTTCATCTCAATCCGCTTCTTAGTTCCTCTCTCCAACCCTAACTTAACATTCTCTTCCTCCCCCATATCTAGCAAACCCTTATTAGGGTTATCAATTTATACTTACACCTCCTCCCTCCACATATAACAGACAACCCTTCCAAACACTAAATCAGCAAAACAAATCCAAATTTCACAAATCCTTAGGGTATCAATAAGCTTACACTTCCTCCCTCCACATATAACCCTAGCAAAAAATCCTTCTCACATACAACATACAAAATACAACCCTTCGAGATTACTGAATCATCCAAACAAACCCCAATTTCATAAACACAACAACAACATTCATATCCTAAGACACAAATCTTCTCCCTTTGAACCAATGCAAACAATTCCACAATACTATTTCAGTTTCCAGTAACTAAAAAAACATCCAATTATGCTAAACTCAACACTTTCCACACCTGTAAATCGTTAACAACACAAAACAGCTCAAAATTGAGAACAAAAAGTAACAAAATTACCAGAAAACTAGGGTTTTTTTTAAAGGATCGGACCTGAATGTTGAAGCTGTTGTTCCTTAGGTCGCGTGAGTGAAATCTTCTAAGAGAGAGAGTGGAGAAAAAGGGGGGGCTGCGCACGTTAGCATCACCGGCTGAAGGAAATCACTATTCCTACTGTCTCAAGGAAACGTTTGATGTATGATATATAAAAGTATATGGGCGATATGTTTTTGGGGGGATTTATATTTATACACAAAAAGAGGGTTAAATGTTTTTGGTGTGAATAACCCTTGTTTTATTTGGAGTTGGTAAGTAAATGACAAAAAGTAATTATGAAAATAAGATTCCATTTAATGTGTAACGTAAACTTCTGTTAGACTGTTTGTTGGGCGATACATTCAAAGTAATATGGCGTGTTGTATTCAAATGTAACGTGGCGTGTTATGAGACTATTAAGATCAATCAATATATGATTTTGATTTTTAATGGTTGTATGTATGTTTTGATTTGTACAATAATGAGGTTAATTAAGAGTTTGTCGATTTTTTATTTTACGATAATGTTGTTTGATGTTGCGTTTGTACGAACCTGAATGTGATTAGTTAGGTTGAAATTCTCTAAAATGTAATGCGGCATATTATTGAACTGTTAAGATCGGCCAATATGTATGGATGTCTGGATTTGTTTAATAATAAGGTTAGCTATGAGTTTAACAAAATTTTATGTCACAATAATGTCATTTAATGTCGCGTTTGTATAAATCTAAATGCGATCAATTAGGTTGACATTATTGATCTCTTAAATGTAACGTGACATGTTATTGGATTGTTAAGATCAATTAATAACTATTTTAATCCTTGGTGATCGTAGAATGTCTTGATTTATAGAATAATAAGGTTAATATATGAGTTTATCCATCTTTCATGTTATAATAATGTCATGTTTGTACATAATCTGAATAAAATCAGTTAGGTTGAATTCTTTTGAGCATAACACGACTTGTTATTGAATTGTTAAGATCAAGCAACAATGATTTAATCCTTGATGATTTTATGGATATCATGATATACACAACACAATGAAGGTAATTATGAATTTATCAGGTCTTTTATATTACGATAATGTCATTTGATGATATATTTGTTCTAACTTGCATGTGAACAATTTAATTGCAATTCTTTTAAATAGAATTTATGGTTTTTACTTTTTATTTGCGTGAAAGCTAGTTACAATTTTAATTTTATTGCAAATTATCTCATGAATTGAATTTGATCAATTAGGTTGAAATTCTCTTAAATAAAATTATGACCCTCTATTTTTATTTTCATTAGAGCTAGTTAAAATTTTAGTTTATTGCAAAGCATCTTGTATTTCTTATTAAGTTCAAGTTATTGTGAATAATCAATATGGATCGTCATAAAAATATATTGACTTGCTTGTTAAGGTAAAAAATGACTAAATATTGTTTAAACTTTTGAAAACGAACAAACAAATATAATGTAACACTTTAATGATCTATCGTTTAAATCTGTTAAGCTAATTTATTTATGTTTTGTGTTGAATCTTATTATTATAATTCGTATTTTAGAGTGAGAACGAGGGGATAAAGGAGAAGCAAGTGATAGGAGTATTAGAAGGAAAAGTTCAAGTTCTTGAATTTAAATATGTGTAATGTTTAATTTTGCTAAAATATTTATTATTTAATTTTGCTTGAAGGCAATGTGACATGTTATTGGTTGCTAATATTAGCCAACAATAACCTTAATTCATAATGATTATACAAATACCATGATCGTACAATAATAAAGTTAATCATAAATTTAACGGTTTTTTATATCACGACAATATTATTTAATGTCATGATTGTACAAACCTAATACGAGCAATTAGGTTGAAATTATCTTAAATATAACGTAACATGCTATTGGATTGTTAAAAATAGCCGACAACGACCTTAATCCTTAATGATTGTATGTCTTCCTAATTTGTACATTAATAAAGTCAAATGTGAATTTAACGATCTTTCTAGTTTCTATCAAGATAATATCATTCAATGTGATATTTATACAAATCTAAAAGCGATCGATTAAGTTGAGATTCTCTTAAATATATTGTGACATGTTATTAAATTGTTAAGATCAGCCAATAACGACCTTAATCCCTAATGATATTACAAGTGTATATCATGATTCGTATAATAATAAGGTCAATTATGAGTTTACAGTTTCTTTTATCACATGTTTGTACGAACCCTGAAAATGTCTGGTTAAGCTGAAATTCTCCAAAATATAATTAAGATCCCTTGTGTTTTTTTTTTTCATGAGAGCTAGCTATATTTTTAGTTGTTTTTTAATGAATGAATTCGTCTTCCTTATTAAGTTTGAATCAATCGTTCCTTCAAAATTCTATAATATAATATTTATGACCCTAATTTTTTTATATGTGTGTTTTACGTGTATGTCAAATTAATAGTACATGATTTTACAAACAACGTCAATATATATAAAACTTAATTTGATCTAATAAACTATAAAAAAAATTAAAGTATTAAAAGTTTTCATGCATAATCAATATGAATTGTCATATAATAATATATTGACTTATTTGTCAAGGTAAAGATGACTTAATATGAACCGAATCTATGAAGATGATCAAACAAATATAAAGTAACATGTTATTAAGTTATTGTTCATATTTATTTAATTTTTTTTTGTGTGTGTGTGTGTGAGAGCCTTGTTTTTGTTTTTGAAGTAGGAAAGTGGGGACAAAAAACAAATGATAGGATTATTAGAGAAAATTAAATTATTTAATTTAAACATATGCAACGTTTAATTTTGCTAAAATATTTTAATTCACTTAAATGTAATGTGACATGTTATTGAATTGCTATGATTGGCCAACAAAGATTTTTATCCGTAAGAATTGTATGGATAATAAGGTCAATTATAGACTTATCAGTTTTTCATGTCACGAAATATCATTAGATGTCACATTTATACAAACTTGAATGCAATCAATTAAGTTGAATTTCTTTTAAATGTAACGTGATATGTTATTGAATTGTTAAGATCAATCAATAATAACCTCAAGTCTTAGTAATTATATGAATGTCCTGATTTGTATAACAATAAGACACTTATGAATGTACTAGTCTTTCATGTCAACTGTCAAGACAAGTCATTCAATATCATATTAATACAAATTCAAGTGCTTTTAGTTAAAATTGAAATTCTCTTAATATAATGTAAGTACAGTAGAATAAAAAATTAATATAAAACGGAGGGAGTATAAATTAATTATGATTTAAACAAAGTTCAGGAGGTCAATTTTTTTAAAAATGCATAAAAGATATAATTTCTAATTAATTATAGTCTAGCTAATAAGAAAATATATAAAGACAGAATATGTTGAAGAAGCATGGTCACATTATATAATTAACATTATACTACCCCTTTTTTTTAATTTCCATGCCACCACATTATAGTATCCCATCATTTACATATCTTTCAAGTGTTGTAATTTATTAATATCCAAGAAAATGATTGGAATATATCGTCAATAAAAAATACAAAACAATCAAATATATTATTATTAATTTATTATTACAATTTTATTTTTATTTTTCAAAATCAAGAAAAGAATTAATCTCTATCACAAATATAACCAATGTGGTTATTGAATCTTGATCCAAATTCCTTCACTTGGTATATCTTGATTAACCACAAATAACATATAGTAACCAGGTGGTGCTAATTTACTAGAATTAGGGAAAATCGAACTGATTTGATAAGTGAATATTCCAGTCTTTTTTACCTTTTCACTCGAAAGAACAAGCATTCTTTGATTCATAGTATTCGAATGTGTGTTAAATCCAGGTGCAACCATAGTCACTTTAATCAAATTTGTGTTGAGGAGTGATCCGGAAAGAGTAAATCGAATGTTAACGCGTTGCCCATACTTGATATTTTTTTGAGAAGCGGGAGAAATGATTTGTGGGCGCAAATTAGCAGAGTTTGAATCCAGGTAGGATGGTGAGAATGCCTCCAAACTTAAATCCGTTGGAAAAAGAACTCTAGTGAAGTTGTAAAGCTCATTTGGATTACTACCACCAACAATAACTCGTCCATCACGGAGTAAAACTGTTGTTGAGTGATACATTCTAGGTATTGCATTCGGATTTTGCACCTCGAATCTAGAACCAGACGGGTTATCGGGTCGGTAAATTACCGGACTCAAAACCGGGTTCCTAGCAATTCCCCATCCGGCAGTGCCCGCCGCAGCTCCATTGACAATCAAGACATTTCCATTAGGTAAAATTACCATGTCACCCATTGTTCGAGCTAGTGGCATTGTCTCCATGGTCCATTGTGGATTCGGGTCGGTAATTGTAATCCGCCCGCAAGTATTTAAAGCACCCACAAAGGTATTAGCTCTTGCCGCTTTGAGGTATGAGCCAATTGGGGCTCCACCACATACCAAAACCTCAGCTTGAATTGTTTGTGCTTGCAAGTTCTTTAAAGGAAGAAGAACCGCAGAACCCGTACTTGGATAATTTCTCGGGTCACCACCGGGTATTTGTGGATACGTTTTCACTATCGTATTTGTTGTGTAATCGAGTAATATAGCTCGATTGTTCGCGAAAATGAATAAATTTCCGTCCACATTGAGAAAAACAAATGGGTAAAGATTGTTTTCCTCTTTAGGAACATTAGTTTGTTGAATAAACGGAAGACTAAATACTTTGTTTGTTGAAGCAGTTTTAGGATAAAACTCGTAGTTAAAAGCATCACGGCCTCCTATTATAATTTGCCTTCCGTCAGGAAGAATTTGATTGGCAGAATACCATCGACCTTGAATTAAGCCAGTTCCAATTTCTTGCCAGTCACAAGTGCTGCACGGTTTGAACGTTCTCACCATATTTCTTCCATCGTTGAATCCACCGGTTTGGACCAACGTACCGTCAGAGGTGGCAGATCCTGAGGAGCACCACACATCGGTCTGGACCATGAGGGGTCGTATTGAATTAGTGGACACGTCGTATTCTACAGAGTGGGCAGTGCAATCGACTTTCAAGGCAAGGTCTTTAGGATTGTTGCGACATTTGCCATTAGGCAAGGAGATGTTGGATGCACCAAAGTCAGTACGATCGTACATGATGACTCTATCGTTGTTGAGGAGTTGCATGTGCATGGCTGAAATGCCG